ATGATAGGGAGAGGATTTTATAGTCTAATGCACAGCCAACATTCTGCAATTTATACTCCAGCACATCTGGAAAACTCCAGGCTAATTAAAGTCTTATCACTTTTTCAGAACTATCAACAGGATAGTTTCACAAACTCGCCATGACCTTAAAAAAATTAATTAATTAATTAATTAATTAAAAAAATCATGAGGTGCAGTTTTTCAGAATCCACACCATTCAGTTTCTCATAATGGAATAATTCTTTCTGGGTGCTTTCTCATCCTTCCATTTAAAAAAGAAGTCTAAGATTAGAAGGGAATATCATAATCTGGCCTTCATTTGCACAAATTCTTCCCCCAACTTCAAGTATATTGAAAAAAGGATCAAAATCAAAGTTCCAAATATTTTGAGAGTCATCTTCTGAAATTTATTTTTGATGAGAGAGCATTTTGTTTTCCATTAACCACTTCCAACTACAACTAATAAAAAGACATTAAATATTGGCAAAATAACATATGAAATCTGGCAAATCATGCCCTGGCACTAAAACCAGGATATTTTAGGTACTAATCTCTGAAGTTATAGGTTACCATAGACACAGCATAATGCACGTGCAGAAAAAGAACATTGAAAAAATGAAAGGGACAAAAGAAGTATACTATTTTAATTACTTTCTTGGCACCTGTATTATTTCTTTCTTTTCCAGTCCATATAGTGAATTTACAAATATGCACACACAAACATGATCAATGCCAGTTTGCTTACTGTAATCTCTAGCCAGCACAACTTCTATCCGTTCCCATAAATCACTTAAAACTCCAAAGGAAAACTGGAGAAAGAAACCAAATGGCCTTTTTTAATGCATTCCTTGAGCTCCCAATTTGATATAGCTCAGTTAATCTTACAGAGAGTCATAGAATTATAACTGAAGTTGACAGACTGCAGAAAGGGGATCACTGTCCATGGGGCAAGTAAATGAATCACATCACAATTATTCAACAAAACCTTCACTATTTTCTTCTCCTAAATACTTCCTGTTTCAGACTACTTATGAATGACTAAGCAAAGAGTCAGAGGAATAAGAATATAGGCACTGAGAAAAGAGACAAAATGGTATTGAGGATTCCAAGGGATTTTTTTTAGGAGAAAACTCATTGGTATTTTATTTTCTCATGCTATAGAAAAAAAAAGAAAATTACAAATATAGACAAAATAGCAATAGCCCAGACTTGGGTATTAATAATTAAACCATGTGGAAAAGGGTAAGGGGCTATTATGTAAGAAGGAAAATATTGTTAAGTGTTTAAAAATGGGTAAGCTACACTGCTTAAAAGTGTTTTAATCCATTATGTTTTAAAAACATACTATATGTCCTACCTAGAGCACTTACTTTAGACACATCACTCTTTCCCTTTTTCTCTGAAACCATCAATGATATTAACAGAAATACTGTGAAAAAATATTGGAAGAAAAACACTTATTTGTATACGGTATTTCGGTGCTACATTGGAGAATACTCAGTCTCCTCTTTTTCAAAACAGAACAATTAATTCTCAAAAATAATGTAAAAATAGGAAGGGAGGACATATCACTGTTAAGAGTGGGCAGAAAGGGGTAATTCCAATCTGGGAAGATCCTAGAAAAGATAATCAAAAAACAGATCTGCGAACAACTAGAAGCAAACAAAGTTATAACTACTAGGGTTTGTTAAAAACAGATCATGCCAAACCAATCTTATTTTATTCTTTGATAAAGTGACTAAACTAGAAGACCAGCAAAATGCTATGGATGTAATATATTTAGATTTCAGTAAGGCATTTGGTAAAGTAGACCACAACCTGCTCCTTGGTAAGCTAGAAAAAGATGGAATAGACAACATCATCACCAGATGGATCTGTAGCTGGCTGGCAAACCGTACTCAACAACTAGTCCTCAATGGCACTACATCCACATGGAGAGAAGTAAGCAGTGGGGCAGTCTCCATCTTAGTATGCTTCAATATCTTCATAAATGACTTAGATGAGGGAATAGAAGGGAAACTCATCAAATTTGCAGGACAAGAAACAATGGTTGGAAACTGATCAAGGAGAGAAGCAACCTGAAATTAAGGAGAAACTTCCTGACCGTGAAGACAATTAACCAGTGGAACAGCTTGCTTCCAGAAATCGTGGGCGCTCCATCACTGGAGGTTTTTAAGAAGAGACTAGACAGTCAGTTGTCTGAGATGGTATAGGTTCTCCTGCTTGAGCAGGGGGCTGGACTCGAAGACCTCCAAGGTCCCTTCCAACTCTATTCTATTCTATTCTATTCTATTCTATTCTATTCTAGTCTAGTCTAGTCTAGTCTAGTCTAGTCTAGTCTAGTCCTTTTGGAATGTGGTGGTCTCAAGTCACAATTGATGTTCAAGCTAACTGGGGAGCTATGGAAAATTAAACTCAATCATTATAAATCCAGTATATTTGAAATGCAATAGATCAAGCACTAAATAACAGAGGTCTATAATCTCTCCTGTTCCAGTAATTGCTAATGAATCTGGCCATTTGTACACAATATATATTTTTTAAGAAAAATCATTTGGAAAAGTTTCTAAGGTCTGTACTGGCAGCTCCAAGATGCATCTCCAACCCAGTTTTAGGCTCAAGACAGAAAAATCCAAAATAGATGGGCATGATGGTTAGTTATAACACATCAGTTGAAGATTTTCCCTAATTATCTGGTTCTGTGAATTTTGAAGGATGAGCATTCCTCACCATGCATATTGGCAGTGAATCTGGTTATGATCAGACACAAAAAGAAAGTTATTCAAAGGTTGAATGATACTGAATACTAAAATCAAGTTAGCATCCTTTCCTGGAACAGTTCACACGGAAATCTGCAGGCTAGTGATACAAGTTAACCCTCCCTAGATTACAGAAGGGCTTTAGAGGGCCAGGCACAATGTCCTCTGGTTGGTTTTATTGCAGGACAAATTCACCAAACTCCCACTAAAAAATGTGTGGACGGGGTAAACTGAGACCCTTTTATTTTTGACAAGTTATGTATAACAAAACGACATGTAAAATGTCCCTAGACACGTTTCTAGATAATGTAAAGTTTATGTGTTTAACTTTAATGTTCAGGTCTGACTGTTTAAACTTAATCGACAACTACGTAAAAATGACGTCGGTGTATTTTAAAAGGAAATAAAAGGATTATTAAAGGTATGTCTTTTTGGAAAGTAAAGATGAGCACACAGCTTATTGATAGAAATTTTAGACATGATAGTTCCACACAAAGAATGCTTGATTTAATTAAAGAATGCAGTGTGCATCGAGTGAAGGTAAGAGTATTCATCTGAGTATAAGCGTAGAAAATTAAAAAGGGAGGAGAGGAGAATCATGTTGGATGTCCACTCCTTTAAGCAATGGCGTTCACCTTCAAGGAATTTTATACATGCAGTGTTGACCTTCCTCAGCTTTTCAGTTTTGTTTTAGTCTCGGAAATGAAAAAAATAAATAAATTGTGGAGGCTAAAACTGCATAGGATATCTTGGCTTGCTTCAGAGTTTAAGTCTATTGTTTGAATCTGTCCTGAAATTCTATGTGCATTCCATACTAAAATGCTGGACATTACAGCATATGCATTTGCATAAACCTAAAGTCTGATTTTGATTTCTATCAAATGCACATGCTATAAGAATAATGTGAGGCTTGGAGATGATGGGCATTGAGATGATGAAAGCTTATTATTTTGTACAAAGCTGCTTGTAAAAGTTACTTTCCATAAAGTTGCTTGCCCAAAGCATGTATGTCTATTAGCAGGTATGGTTTTTTTCAAAGAACATTTAAACATTCCTTCTAATTTTCGTTAAAAATATTTTCAAATTAAGATGCATTAAAACAAGAATTTTATTAGATAATTATGCTGCCTCAGTCATGGACTTAAGTGAAGAACTATATGGTCGTAAAGTCTAGGAGTAATAGAAGGAGATTATGGTCTTCCTCCTTCCATCTTCTTTTTAATTTTCATTAAAAACTGTTAAGAAGTAAAAGGTGGAACAACCCACACTTTGTCTATATGTGGTCAGACTAAGAACCCTCTGTCTGGAACCATTCTTGTATATTCATTCATAAAAGCAACTTGACTTCTTAATACAAAAGCTCTTAATCCTATTACTTCTCACGTTAGAAAACAAAGCAGTGTTAGGCATGCTTGAATGTTTTTTCTTGGTATCAAATATTTGATGCCTATGTACCCAAAAAGATGAATGCAGCCTGAAAATATTCCATCAGTTGCTTCTATCAGTTATTTAGCACTGTTTTCCCCCCACCCCACAATACATTTACCATAACTATCCTCAAACTTTCTATCAAAAGCAGAAAAGACAATGGACAATTTATTCAGCTAAACACCAAAGGTGCAGATGCTTACAACTGCCAAACATGTCAATGCACTATTTCTTTGCACACTGCCTTGTTCAGGAGCAAATGAAGCATTTATTTCCAATCATTCTTGACTCAATTAGTTAAAAAAATAGGTTACATGAAAAACATTATTTTAATTAATGAAACACTTGATATGAATAAAACAGAAAAAATGCATAAAATTTACCAAATCGCCAGAAAGAATTATTTTTTATTAATAGCCACAAACATACATTGGGAAATATAAGCAATATTTCTAACTTTGACAGACTATTCACTCCTATATTTTGGGATATTTAGTTATAAATCTAAAATTTGTAACAACAATTGTAGGTTCCCTGTGTTTGACGGTTCAACATATTTAGTGACAAACTCAAATATAGTGTTTAATCGAATTTAAGGTTCGACTACGTAAACATAAGTACACTTTCTGTCTTAACTAGTTTCAACTGTAACCTCAGAAACCTAAGCATCTTTCATTTCTCAAGAACATTTCAGAGGCAGTTTCTGGTCTAAAATGTTTGAAATAGCAGCAGTCGAATAGAAATTCTACTTGCATCCTTTCTGTATACCAACAAACTGAAATTCCAGACAAATGCAAGATAAGGTAAACTTACTTGGAAAGGAGGATGACACAATTTTGTGCTCTCCGGCCATCAATCACAGAAAGCTCTTTCACCTTTCGACTGGATAGGTATAAGTCTTCAGTTGATCCCATTTCTTTCTACAAATAGTTTAAAAATGGGAAATTATTTCTTTTTTCTTATTGAATTTTTCAGTCAATGCAATACTTAGAAGGAATACATCATATCCAAAGTAACCAGTGTGGGAGGAAATCCACCCAAGTTGTAGGATTACAATGCTATAAAAATCAAACTGGAAAAAAAAAAGTGTATAAACATTTTGCTTCCTTATTTCTTATGTGTTTCCTTCCAAATCCAGATGTAAGTGCAACAGACAACAATATACGTGCAAGCATGCATGCATATATATGTGCATCTCAGATCCTTATTTTATTGTCTTTGCTATAAATGGGATTGCCTGAAAAGTATAATTAAATGTAGAACACATTACACACACGGTGACATGCATCAAAACACATTATATAAACTTAAATCCAAATAAATAAAGTATGTTCAAAAAGTGGGAACAATATTATAAAGAGGGATCGTATCACCACCAGGTAAATGAAATAACCTTTGACTTTATGGATAGAATTGAGATTAAGAAGAGGATGATGGAGAGGTAAGGAGAAACAAGTTTGCTGATTTCATTTTCCCCTGTAACTCCTTAAAAGTTGAAGGAAATTAATTTCTAGTGGCTACAAAGGGCACATCCTTGTAGACTTCTTGGAAGCAATGCAGAATCATTTGATACTTCCTGCTTTCAAGATGTTTTTCAATTTCCCAATCTAGGTTACAGATTTAGGATTCTCCTTTTCTTTTTCTTTCTTTCTTTCTTTCTTTCTTTCTTTCTTTCTTTCTTTCTTTCTTTCTTTCTTTCCCTTCTTTCTCAGTTTTTCTTTATTGCTTGAGGTTTTTGTTTTTTTGAAAAAAAATCCCCATAAATACTAGGATGCTAAGAAAGAATCTGGTATTAATCATGCTGGACTATGTTTGAGATTTACTCTTGCAATCTTTTCATTGTAAGAAGGAATGTAAATCACTCAGTGTTGTATTGGAATGGAGTAGTATATGGAACCTAGTAAATAAATAAACATGCAAACAAAATTCCTAAAATCCCACACTGTTCCAGAAGATCCTCAGTTTAGTGGAGCAGATATTCTAAGAGTTGAAAAGCTGAAAAAGGAAGAATCATTAAAGTCACCTCCCTCTTGTATTCACTGGGACATCATGACATAACTCAATTCAAAAGATGTTCCCATGAACAACTGAAAGTCAGGATCCTTTCTTTAGTAAATAAAAGTAATAGGATTATTAGCAAGAGGTGAGTTACGCCTATTTTTCTGTCTTTTGTAAACAAAAGTAAGAGCACCCATCTCCAATATCTCTCACTTGTTCTCGTGGGTTTGGATACACAAAAGCCGACTGAATTTTGATTTCTGTCTCTCAAAATTCATGCAAGACAGAAACACCTATACATGTGCAGATGAAAGATAAGGTTTACTCATGCAACAAACAAAGTGGGTTATGAAGTTACAGTTGGATCTCGTGATCTCAACACTGGAAAAGAAATCTGCAAAGTCAGAAAGGGGACAGGTAGTAATACTCACCGGCTTACATGAGGAAGAAGGATTAGTTAACAGGTCCTACTCAGGCAACAGTTGAAGATAACAGAGAAGGAAACATGCCAACAGTTAGCAACAGCAATAAAAAGGTAACAGAGTTTATCAAAGCAATAATATTTGGTCTTCTAATGAAGCGCTGGTTAACTTGACACTATTAAAATAATCAAAGAAGAAATGCCTCGCAATTTGTTCTCCTTTCCGTAGTCACAAAAAGTAGGAGATATTACTGAATTTGCTCCTTTTCCATAGAGATTCTAAAGATGATCGTTAACAGGATTTTAAGGCAATAATAGGGTTTCCCACTACTTTCTTTTTTGCAATTATGTTAGTGATGTTATAAAATAATAAACTGGCCTTTTGAACATCATAAAATAATCCGTAAGAGACCTTGGAATAAAATTCTATTCCTGTTTAACATTGCCTTCTCAGTATATAACAAACAGCAAATACTTTTGTATGGAGTGAAGAACAGACCCTTTGTCTTCTCTAAGAAAAAAGAAGTCGTTTACAGGAAAAGAAGCTGGGGGACCAAATACAATATCATATTAACTGCAGCAAGAAAAAGAAATGCTTCATTCATGCTCATGCATGCAACACCCCCCCCCCCAATGTCTCTGGGATTTGCTGAGTTTAGCTTCATTTGGCTGAAGTTTAAAGCCGGTGAATGACCAGAATAGAACTGGTCTGTTTAGACAAGCAAACCTCATTTTGATCATATCTTAAACTTGCAGAATTATGATCCAGTCCCATTCCACTTTTTATAGCAAGACAGGAAGTCTTCAATTAACTATCTAAATCTCTAAACTTTGGTTAATCAAATGGGAACATATCAGGAACATAATCTCAGTTTGGTGTAAAGCTTTAGCCTGTCCGAAATTTGGTTAGTTTTGTGATTGATAAGAAGTGCTAAGAGGTCATTTGTCGCTGAAAGGGAACCAAACTTTACATGTTGATTCAGAAGTGGTCAACTCATTTTCATGTGCTTTTTGGCAATAAAAATGAATCTGAATCTTTTAGGAGTCCTGAAATTTCCAAAGGGAAATTGAAAGATGTTGGAGTCTGGTCAGTTTTTTGGACTAATTTATTAAAGTCTTTCAATAGTTCTCTACAGTGTGGCAACATTGTTTTATATTATTGGAGAAGAAAAGCTGAACTTCCAGCCCAGCTTTGGACTATCATTTGTACAGCAGACAACTGGGAGAAACCTTGTTTTCAAAATATAATTTAATAGCTAAGAAAGAATTTGGAAAAGAAGGGGAGGGAAAGTTAAAATCCCACTGATCCATCCAGTTGAGTCTCATTTGTGACAGAAAGACAGCATGAGGGTGATCTGCTTTCCAAGAAAAGGAGGAAAAAAACCTGCACAGCTGCTATTAAAAGTATGTCACTACTGTTAGCATTAAAATATCCATTATAATCTATTATTTGAAAGAAAAGTAAAGACAATGAAGTAAGCCAAATACAAAGCTGAACTAAATTTATTACACAAGATTTATTAGCTAAGAAGAAAATGTATTACAAAATGAGGGGGGAAATGGAATTAACATCATTAATAAAACAAGTGAAAAAAGACTAAAAAGATTCCATTCGAATTGGGTGGCTAATAAATTTGAATTACTAGACTAGACTAGACCAGACCAGACCAAATCAAGCCAAGCCAAGCCAAGCCAAGCCAAGCCAAACCAAACCAAACCAAACCAAACCAAGCCAAACCACACTAAACACCACTACCCATCATATAACAACTGCAAACACAAATCAGACTGGCAATGCCAAGTACTGTATTTTTCCACTAAAGGCAGACATTATGGCAAACAAAATATAGGTACTTGTTGAGACTATGTTAAACTTGTCTACTTACTACTCAACATTCTCATCAGTACAAGGTATCGTGGTCAAGCCACCATTTGATGTCTCTCAGTGTTTCAGAATGATGCTATATGATGATCTTGCAGGAAACAGAGCTTAGCACTATGGCACACCATTTCCAGTCATCAACACCAGGTAAGTTAAGGGTCCACTAATAAAAGAGGGAGCCATCCAGAAGACTATTTACCTGGCATACTCAAACCTGGAGCCAATCTGTTTATCCTGAAAATACTATATCCATGAAAAGACATTTCCTACTGCTTTTTCTCTGTTGGTGCACCAAATACTGAAACCATTTTTATAGAGGAACATAAAGACTTCAGAACCTGAACTGAGGGGAATAGCATTGAAATGTCTTACCTGATGTCTTTGATAGGCTGAAAACATTTTTTCAAAATCTTCCAAATCCAGCATCTTGAAAGCTTGTATGTCATCAATTTCATGCCAGATGGTACCATGTATCTTTTCCTAAAATTCAAAGAGATGTATATAGCTGTGGTTAGCCCTACATTCTAGTGAATAATAATTTTCACATAGCTATCATTGTTCCATCTTCAACCTCCAAATACACACAAAGGCAAAATGCTATTAAAAGTAATACTTAGAGCATCACTTCCCTCATTTTTCTTTTCATAGTTGATTGCAATTCATTCATCTAACACTTTATTAAATATATCATAGATGGGTAACATAGATTTTACTCTAAAAACACTTTTTATGCAAAAAAATCAGAAATTTCTGATTTTGGAGGAGGAGGAGGAGGAGGAGGAGGAGGAGGAGGAGAAGGAGGAAGGCTGCCCAGCATGTGGTATCTTGAAGTCCAGACTGGCTAAAAGTAGAACACTCCTACCTTCTCAACTGAAGCTCACAAAAGGCACTCACATAGTAAAGTGCATTAGCACTTCATTATTAAAATAATTAAGAACAGCTTCTATCTCCCACTCACCCTTATTAAAGAAACAAGAGAAAAATGCATTATTCTGAGAAGCTAAAAGGGGTCAGGAAGAATTCAATGGACAGAACATGATTAAAAGAAGACACAAGTTTTGGAGAAAATCCAGCCCAAAAAATAAAGACAAAAGCAAAACAGCCAAGCCTTTGGACTCTCCTGAAGTCACTTTTTTGGCTTTTAAAAATGGCTCATATTACAAAGCAAGTTTCCATTGAGAACTGCAAAGTTTTCTGCTTTGTCTCTATTAAATCCACTCAGAGCTGTTAGAGTGTTATGGTCTGTTTAGTTTATAATTTTGTATGAGACATAAAACCAGAATATGGAAAATGACCCTGGGACACATTTTATTCTGCACATCTTTATGAGCCTCATGGGAAGACACTGATAGAAATGACTACAGTCAAAAATATAGTCCAGAATTGACTGCCTAAAAATGAAGCCCAATGAAGTTCCATAAAGGTGACTAAATTTATCACATGAAAACAGCAATTATCAAAACTTAAACCTCCAGAAATCCACTTTCCTATTAAGACACACTGGTTGTATTCCCTTCTTTTTATTCTTCTATTTGTTCCCCAAATTTGTTCTGATATCATTTTTTTCTGCTTAGACTGTGGTATGAGAGTTTTGCTACAGTCTGTCCAAGCACATTACTATTTTTTCCTTTTTTTGTCTCTGGAACTTACAGATGAATTGGCCACACCATATCTCCAGCAACAACAACAACAACAAAAACAGGTTTGTGGATGTATCAGGAAGAGATGTTCTGTTCACGTGTGTTAGAGAGGGAGTGAGAGGATTATTACAAGCAGGAGTTGTGGAATGAGCTGAGCAAACAGGAGAAACTCAGGACAAAACTGGCTGGGGGCCTGAAGTTATCTGCAAAGGGTGACTGAAGGGGCCAAAGAAATGGGATCCATTTCAGAAGCATGAGTAGCAAGAAATTGTGAGCGGCAACAGGGCCAAAGGTGAAAGCAGCTGCAGAGCCAGGCAGCCATGCCAACCTCTGTAATTGTGACAATAGTTCACAGCAGTGATAGCAAACTTTCCCCTTCTTAGTCAGAAACAGAGAGGTGCCAAAATCTCAGCAGCAATTCAGGCCAAAGGCAACAGATGCCTGGCTCAAAACCCTGAAAAATGCCAACCATCAACCAAATCTTGGATGGCTAAAAGATAGCCAGAAATCAGGCTGAGAAGAACATAACTTTTGTTTTTACACATCCTAAGTGGGAGAGCAGCAAAGGATGGGAATAAACTAAGCTAGGATCATTAGTTCCCTACATTAGGTGTAGGAGAGGAAGGAAATACAATGATAGACATTGATATAAGAAACATACAAGAAATAGGCATAGCTATTGTACTTAGAGAATATAAATTGTGAGATAAGGAAAGAACATAGAAAAGTTTAGAATGTGTGATTCAATGAGCATATACTGTATATCTGTATATACTTATGTATGCACCCCTTGGGTTACGAAAGCAATTGGAAACAGAATCTCCATTGCTAAATGACGCAATTGTAAAGTATGAAGTCATGTGACTGTGCCACTTAATGACAGCAGTTCGGAAGTCCTCATGCCTTCATTAGGGGAGAGCTTCACACGATGATGGAGATCACAAGAACATGACTGCAGCTTGCTGTGACAGCAAAATTGTAAGCCAGACACCAAATACTTGTAATGTGATTACATAAGCACAGAGACATTGTAGCAGTCAGAACTTCACAAGTTTCAACAATCACAGAATGTGTGGTTGTAACTTGAGAACTACGTATGTATCTGAATTATTCCTTCCTTCCTTCCTTCCTTCCTTCCTTCCTTCCTTCCTTCCTTCCTTCCTTCCTTCCTTCCTTCCTTCCTTCCTTCCTTCCTTCAATTTATTCCTTCATTTATAGAACCACTGAAATGTGTACAAACCTGGAAAAAAAGTGGTACCAGTTTATAGTGTGAGGAATCATATGACTGAAAGTTTATCAATTACCTTCCACAAAAAGAAAGTTTACAAATAAAGTAGAATCTCAGCTTCCTGTTCCTATGTTAACTCTGTATATGTATAAATATTATAACAATTTTACATAATCAAATATTCTAGTTTTGATAAATCCTGGTAATCCACCTATTATTTCATATACAGTAAGCAAGGATTTCCAGTTTAGATACTATCTTGCAAGCCAACATAATGTTGCCAACTGGGAGGCACCTGCAATGCACTGATATATATACTCACGATGTTCCACTCAGCATAAGCCATATGAAAAATAACCTAAATACTAAATTTTCTAAATATTAAATACTATTACTGAAGTCCCACCCTAGTTTTGGTAGCTACTATATACATGTAAATTATGGCAAACTCAAATCAAATCACTCCTCTCCAAAATCAAACTATTCCTCCATGCTCCAAAACTCCATTTTTAATCATTCTCTAACCCTTATTGATAAGTACAGCTATCTCCCCTGTGAAAAAGAAGGAAGGATAAGCCTTTGGTCCTATAAACTAAAAAGAACCATATGTGTCTCTGGCTGTTCAGTGTTTGTGTATGTGCATATAACTGTCTTTTTTTCTCACCCGAAGTACCAATTTCTGAAAATAAAACTTACTCCCATAGCCCCACGTGGCTTTGAAAGACAAGAACAGGAGGAGCAGCAAATATTTCACTTCATCATATTTGAAACGAAAAAGAGAGTAAGCAAGGAGAAGGCACATTCTTGTGGCATTCCAAAGGTCCCGAGACACTTATTCCACATGCCTGAGCTGAGCCCCGAGTGACTTGGGAGTCTTAAAAAGAGCATGGATTTCTAGGCAGCTACCCAAATTCAACACAGATAGTATTCTATCTGCATTTTTTAATGACCAAAGAGTAATAGGGGTGATGGAAATTAGAAGGTGGGAGTTGGACGAAAACAAGTGTGCTACGCAAAAGGTAGGCTGGATACTCCTCTAGAAGGAAGAGCTAGATTGATTTGTAACTAGAAGAGGGAGATTATGCTCCTTCATGGTTATGCAATGAATGAGTTGTTCAGAGAATTGCATGCCATTTAGCCTCTGTAAATGTTCTAGCCCCAGGGCTGGCTCAAACTTTTCCGCAAGCTTTTCACTACCACCAATCTACCCCCAACATATACACTCCACCCATTTTAGTGGAAACTGCAAAGTTAAAAGCTTCCTTCCAAAGAGGTTTGCTTGAAAATAGGCTGCACAAGAGCTCCAGCAGACCGTGGGCATATATAAATACCACAGCATTTGCATGTGTTTGGATAAATTTTAAATGTTAACACTTCTACATGCAATGTGGAAGGAATGTTTTTTGCTGGAGTTTGGCATGGGAGAGGAAGGAACACTTAAATAGGGTTGACTGAAGAATGTATTTTGAAATGTCAGTGTGTTTCCTCTCTGCTAAAATGTTTAAATTACAAAATTGCAGTATTAGAAGTTTTGTGGTGAGTTTGAAAACTCAGTTTTGTAATGAAATTTAATTACAAAATTCTTCCCACTTCCAAACTAATAGGCCTTACTTTCAAAAAATTAACTTAAGATGATGTGTGTGTCTGTGTGTATAAAAATTTCCTTCTCGCCCTTATGGGTCCTCTACCAGAACTCTGGGAGGGTTCTGCATAGTAGCTTAGCTCTGTCCAGTTTCTACTCTGATGTTGTTCCTGGGTTCGGTTGGAGCCTCTCTCCCAGCATAGGAGTCACAGTCCCGAGTGCTCCTATCACCACTGGGACCACTTTGGCCTTTACTTTCCACATCCTTACTAGTTCCTCCTTCAGACCCTGGTACTCCTCCATACTCCTTCTTCATGATGTTGCTGTCACTTGGCACTGCTAATTTATCTCCACCAGTACTTGCCTGTCCATCTGGTTCTGGAAGTCCCACAGTATCTTAGCCCTGTTATTCTCCATAATCTCTCCATTTGTACTTGGAAAGAGTCTAGCGGCTAGCCCATACACTTTGCAGATGTTCCTGTACACAATGCCAGCTACTTGGTTGTGCTGCTCGGCATATAATGTTTATGCCTGAATTCTTACACTCTGCCACCATGCTTTGGACTTCTCTGAGGTCTCTTCTGCATAATCCGCATCTTGGCTTCTGTCTCGTATGGTAGACCCCTGCTTCTATGGATCTACTGCTTAGGGCCACCTAAGTTATCTATCAGTGATATATCTGTGTGTGTGTGTGTGTGTGTGTGTGTGATAATTGTATGTATATATATATATATATCATATAATTTTAAATGTATCAGTTTTGCACCTAAAATTGGGTTCTTATGGCATAACTACTTTAGCACAATCTTCAACATTCCAATCTTCTCCAACATTTCAGTCAATAGCAAGCTAAACAAAAATAGGGTTTTTGAACCTTACCTCAGTCAATTTGGCCCAGTTGAAGGATTTCAGTGGATGAGATGGCTGTGGGATTGCTTTTTTCTTTAGGCTAATCTCACTGTTGCTAAACGTGGTGGTGGAAGAAACTGGAGGCATACTGATATTGAAGAATGGAGGTGCTCCAGGTGGGGGTGGAGGTCCACCTGGAGGTGGTGGTGGAGCTGGAGGAGGAGGACAGCTGGAGAAAGGAAGAGGTGGTGGCGGCGGCGGCAAAATCTCTGATGATCGTAGAGAAGAGGACAAAGAAAATGGTCCACCAGGTGGTAATTGAGGAGGAATTGGGAATGTACTATTCCCTTGCTGGAAAAAAAAGTAATATTTGGGAGCAATCAGTAAAATCATACTAGTTTTCATTCTATTTCCAAAAATATAATATGCCTCATCAAACATTGTAAGAGTCATATTAGTGATTACTTCATGGTGGTAAACGTGACAAAATATCAATATTTTTAAAATGTCCCTTTTAAGGGTCATCCTGTCACTGCCAGGTAGGTATGGAAACCTGGGTAATCTGCAAGGCCTCTATGAGGAATATTTTGGCTAATTAGCAATGGCACTTAGATTTATATACCAGTTGACAATGCTTTACAGCCTTCTCTAATCAGTTTACAGAGTCAGCATAGTGCCCCCAACAATCTGGGTCCCCATTTTACCAACCTTGGAAGGATGGAGTCAACCTTGAGCTGGTCAGGATTGAACTGCTGAACTGCTGGCAGCCAGCAGTCAGCAGAATTAGCCTGCAGTACTGCATTCTAACCACTGCATCACCATGGCTCCTAAGGACAAAGCTGCTCTGATCCACACTGAGTTGGATTCTATCTGAGCAGATCCAGCTAAGGTGCCAGGAGCACAGTTTGGTGGCGTGATCTGTGATGAATTTGAATCAGGGATACTTGAGGAAGTGGACAGGATTCTCTGCATTGTTAGTAGAGCCACTTGTTTGCTGCAGCCAGATCCTTAATGGCTCATTAAGGTGTCCAGAAAATTGACATGTAGTTTTGAGTCCATATAGTGGTGTCGGCAGCCTTAAATCAAGTTATGGTCCACCCCCTCCTCTACAGGCTCTCTCTGGACCCAACTATTCTAGATAACTATTCTGTCCCTAACCTTTTTTTTATGATAGAGTGTGATAAGGTGGAAGTTACAAAGGATGTTGGAAGGATTGGATTATCTAGACCTATTCCATTTGGGGTTCAGGCTAGGATTCAGTACAGAGACAGTGATTGGGTTGGGATAGTGATACCTCTGATAGTATCCATCTGGACTAACACTGGTGTCTGGGAATTGGGAGGACTGTATTATGCTGGTTCTCTTCCTTCCTTCACAGATTTTAATAAGTGTTGGGGGAAAGGCTGCTTTTTTGACCCCTCCTTTAGGGGTGCCACAGGACATAACACTCTCTTTCCTTTTAACATCAACATTAAATCACTGAGTGAGGTCATCCATTGGTTTCAGGTCAGGCATCATCAGTATGGTGATAATACCTAATTATCAGGCAGCAGGTAGAACTGTTTCTCAGAGGGCTTTTGGACAGCTCCATCTGGCATGCCAGTTTTGCCTCTTCTTGGACTGGGCAGGTATTCAGGACTACAATAAACTCTACATGGGATTTCGCTTAAAAACACTCAGATGTTCCAACCATTCCAAAATGCAGTATCCTGAACAGTGACAGGCTTTCCATTAGATATCTATGTGACACCTCTGCTTCATGAACTGCACTGGCTTGCTAGTGTGCTCCTGGGTACAATTGAAGGTGCTGGCTATCACCTGTAAAGCCCAAATGGCATAGGATCCATTTATTTGAGCAACTGCCTATTACCCATGGTTTCAGGTTGCTAGTACAATCTGGTAGAGTGGACACATTCCAGGTCCCTTCAAGACCCAGATTGCTCTGTAATGGTCCTTGCCTTCTGAAATAAGGTTCCCCCCTTAGATCTGGATGACTCCCACCCCGATGACATTCTGAAAACCTGTTTAACTCCCTGTTTGAGATGTCTGGAATACAATTTTGTAACCATTTTAATATTCTTTTTGAGCTAATTTTTGTATTTCCTTTTTACATTGTTCCTTATTTTATGAGCCATCCAGAGTTGGTTGTAGCCAGAGCAGAAAAGGCAGAAAAAATTAAAAATAGCTAAAATATAATATTGTGTCCTGTGAAAAACATGACTGCCAAAAATGAATTTCAATGTATTCCAGTATAGCTACTTTTGTCTTTCCTTGCCGCTAAAATAGTCCAGTTACTATGTTTCCCCCAAAAATAAGACTGGGTCTTACATTAATTTTTGCTCCAAAAGTTGCATTACGTCCATCTAGCTCAGTGTTTCTCAACTTTGACAATTTTAAGGCATGTGGACTTCAACTCCCAGCATTCCACAGCCAGCAATGCTGGCTGTGGAATTCTGGGAGTTGAAGTCCACATGCCTTAAAATTGTCAAAGTTGAGAAACACTGATCTAGCTGATGATCTTAACGGTCTTATTTTGGGGGTGGGGCTTATATTACAAGTATTCTTTTGGGGAAACACGGTATCTTTCTGCCAATAGACTGAATATGTTGTAGACACTTTCTACTAATTAAAACATGATATACCATCATGCACTCACATTGAATGAAATAAAATGGAAGCAGTGAGAAAGAATGAACGAAAAACACTGGCAATATAACTATTGATTCCATACATGTTGCCTTCTCCACAGAAAACATCAAGCCCTATATTTATCATTTTTTATTTATCACTAACTTCTATGCCGCCCTTCTCCCCACGGGACTCAGGGCGGCTCACAGCATGTTAAAAAACAACACAAAAAACATTTCCCCTATAAAACCAATTAAAAATCAAATATATTAATGGCTGTGTCATTATTAAAATCTTTAAAAAATTTTCCCTATTTAAAATTCACTCAAGGTCAGTCCCGCTTGTTGAAAAAGCCATGTCTTGAGGGCGCGGCGGAAGGTTAAGAGATCCGGGATCGTCCGGATCTCGGGGGGTAGTTCGTTCCAGAGGGTGGGGGCACCCACAGAGAAGGCCCTCCCCCTGGGGGTCGCCAGCCGACACTGCCTGGCCGACGGCACCCTGAGGAGGCCCACTCTGTGGGAGCGTACCGGTCTGTGGGAGGGAATCTGTTTAAGGATTAGGGAAAGAGAAAAAGGGCCCATATCCTACCGAAAATTCATTCAGCTGAACAACAAGGTCACTCATTTGATCCCGACTTTGGCGAAGCTCCAGGGATTCTCTTTGCAGCTTGTCCTTCATTTTATTCAGTGTCTTCATCATTTCATCTTTCTCTTGGGTTTTTATGTCACATTCTCTTTCTTTCTTTTCTAGCCTGCTCATCAACTCAACATGTTCTACAAACAGTAGAGGGAAAACTAAATGAACACAAGCCAAATCAGAATATGAAATAAATTCAGAGAACCTAAGCTATCAAGGGACAAGTGGAGAAAAGAGTTTCATTAAAATATTGATGCAGATTACTATAGTTGTATAAAAAAAACCTTTAGACTGAAAATCAGTAGGTGTTTTTTTTTAATGAGAGTGGTATTCAAAACAGGTAGATCAGACTAATGTTAAAAGACATTATCAGCTGCCCTTCACCATCTGTAAACTGGAAATACATGTTCCCTGAGCTTTGTTCTTTGATAGATTACCTGAAGTTACATGCCTAAATTCCATTTTTTCCAATTCTGAAATGACCACATACCTTTCCGGAATTTCTCTGCTTGATCTCGCCATTGTTTCACTTCATTTTCATTTACCAACCTGAATGAAGATAAAACAAGATCATTTAAAGCCCATTAAAAAAAGTAAATAGAAATTTATGTCTAGTTTAACGAAGAGAAGGACAAGGGGGGACATGATAGCAGTGTTCCAATATCTCAGGGGCTGCCACAAAGAAGAGGGAGTCAAGCTATTTTCCAAAGCGCCTGAAGGCAGGACAAGAAGCAACGGATGGAAACTAACCAAGGAGAGAAGCAACCTAGAACTAAGGAGAAACTTCCTGACAGTTAAAACAATTAACCAGTGGAACAACCTGCCTCCAGAAGCGGTGAATGCTCCAACACTGGAAGTTTTTAATAAGAGACTGGACAGCCATTTGTCTGAAATGGTATAGGGTTTCCTGCCTGAGCAGGGGGTTGGACTAGATGACCTCCAAGGTCTCTTCCAACTTTATTTATTATTATTATTATTATTATTATTATTATTATTATTATTATTATTATTATTATTATTATTATTATTATTATTATTATTATTTATTCATAGAAGAATAGGAACATATTAGGAACTAACAGCATAATAAGCTCATTTTATAAGAAGATTATTGCTCTTAGCCTTTTAGATAATGTTAACTTTCTGCTCCAAAATGTTATAGTATAGTTTAATGCAAATTTTACTGGGCAAAAAGTAGACATTGTTTTGACTAATCTTATCTCTACATAGATGAAACGTTATATATGAAGGGGCCCTCATCTTGCATGAATAAAATCCAGTCCCAGTTTTCATGTTTCTTACATCTTAATGATGTTCTTGACATTGAAGTTTTCCAAAGTAGATACATCTGGATCATTGCCTCGTTCATCCTGAAGAACAATTTGCTGCAGTATCCTGTCTAAAAGTTGCCATTGGTGAAAGGTTCCCCCATTTCTTTTATCTGCAATCACAAACACCAGTAAGGAAACTTAGAGATCTAATCACAAGACCCTGAAATCAATTTCTTTGAAGATTATAAATGAGCCCATGTGAAAAATATATTTACAAGTAATTCTCATTTAGTGACTTCAATTGGGACCAGCAACTCAGTTGTTGAATAAAGTGCTTGCTAAGTGAAACTGTGGCTGTGTTTACAAACTTACTTCAGTTTTCCGTTGCTTAGGATTAGTTCTCACTTGATTGTAAACTCAAAATGATAAGAAGACTTGATTTCCCAGAAAAAAAGTGAAATAAAATATGAATAATACTTACAAATAAATGAATTTCTATTGTCTACCTGCTGTGCTTTTTTATGACTTCCAAAGGAAATTTTATAGAAAAATATTCAAGTAATCTCAAAGCATGAGTATCTATGTGGCCAATAAGTTCCACCTTACGGAAAATGGGTTTTTATTTACCCAAGTAAATTTAATTGAAAACTTGAAAAAAGGGAGAGGAAGAATCTCTGAAATGAAAAACAGAGCCTGCTAACTATTCCCTCTTATGTAAGTCCTTTTTAAAATTAAAAATAAACTATTGCACACTTTAGTTCTTGACCTGAGGATTATGGGTCATAGGCTTGAATATTTGAAATAGTCCCTCAATGACCAAATAAGATTTAAAAAACTCCTTCAAGTTACTGTTTTTCACTTAAAGCATTTTTTTATATCCATCGAAACTGCCTTCACATGAACTCTGACAAGGCTAGCATATTTTCCCCTCCCTCCCTCTCTCCCTCCCTGTCTCTTATACACACACACACACACACACACACACACCACAAATAATTTTTGGGAACAGTTTTATTAAGTCTGACACTTTGGTTCTTGCCCAACTTTGTTAATTAAACCACAGAGATGCTGTTATATATGCAATCTCTGCTTGCCAATAATGTTATTTACAACAGATTGTTTAGTGACTGTACAAAGTTACAACGGCACTGAAAAAAATGCTATTATAATCGTTTTTCATGTTGCAGCTTCTCCATGGTCAAAATTCAGATGCTTGGCAACTGACTCATATTTATGACTATTACAGGATCCTGGGGTCATGTGATCACCTCTTGCGATCTTTGACAAGAAAAGTCAATGGGGATGCCAGATTCACTTAATAACCATGTTACTTTAACAACTGCAGTGATTCACTTAACAACTGTGCCAAGAAAGCCCATAACATGGGGCAACACTTAGCAACACAAATTTTGGACTCAATTGTGGTTGTAAGTTGAGGACTACCATATATATATAACTGTTCAGCTTCAGACACACAAACATGAGACAGAAAAGTGGAGCTAATAGACCTGGTATGAACAGCTCTACGCTGCATTAATGTGTTGAATGTGTCAAGCCCAAACTTTAAAGGGAGCTGCAAAAGATCAGTAATTGTACATTTGCTCTTAGCACCTTCAATTAAATTTGAATGGCTAACTCCAAATGAAAACAAATTTTATCTAGTTGTTGCTAGATTATTGCATAATTTAATATTCCCAAATCTGTACAATACACTTTAGAGAAATCGCTAATTTGCTTTTCCAATTAGGGCTTGAGAACTTTTTAGTTATCAGTTCCCATGAAGTAAGATGGGAATGAAGTATTTTCTGTGAATTTCCCATAGTATTACAAGAGTGTTCATCTGGCCAGTGCTTTGTTTTTCATCAAGATTCTGTGTTAATTAAAAGTGGAACCTGCATATCTCCGACCCTTAACACTAACGTTCTTTCTTGTTCCTTTAAAAAGAAAAAAAAATGTAATGATTTAATCAAGATGAACTTTGTTTCCAGATGGACTTCATCCAACTTTTCTCTTTTTATTGCTTGTTAAACAAGAAATGGCTGCTTCATGTTTGGGGGATCTGAAGTGGGAACAGGAACACGTGCTCTGGGAAAGCCAGCTGTCCACAGGCAAAAAAACTCTGTAGTCAGCTAATGTATCTCTACCTTCCTTTTAGTTGTATGGAAATGGTGAGTCTGAGAAATAATTCATACTGCATAGTCAGCATAGATGAGCAATCAGCTTCCCAGAAGATCCAAATTGTCTAATGAATTAATTTTCAACTTTGATAAAGAATAACAGGTCATATCTTCCTTTCCTGTCTTAGATACAATTGGATGGTATTAGGATCTACTTTGTAGCCACTAAATTAATTTGTATCTGAACTATTTTCTTCTGGACCTCTGAATAAGAGATTGTGGTTCTAGCCAGAGAACCTGAGAATGGAGAATCATATTACATCACCATGCACAACTACTGCACACTAAAAAAAAGATGTATTGATTTATTATAGACCTTTGATTATGATTAAGTGTGTAAGACTAAGTGTCTTTCTATCAAAGATGCATGCCAAACCAGCTGCTAAGATTGCTTTGGCAACAATGAGATGCCATGTATCTTGCCCTATATGATCAGGAAAAAGAAATTAAAAAAACAAGATTATTTGATTGAAGGAGTATGCTTCACTAATATTTTAATAAGTTGGTCTATTTTTCCAGATCTGAAAATGCTGCTGACTATTCCATTATGTCAGAACTGAAGAAGCTTCTTGGATGAGAAGCAAAACATCTTCAAGAAAAAACAAATAAAATTCAGCTGCCTTTGGGACAACAATGATCTGGATGTCTGAGAATCTCCATAGATATGGGAATGTAGTCTATAGGAATGTAGATTTTCCCCTTGCTATGTATCTCTCTTTAAATGCAAGGCTTACAGATTCTACCAAAACCTTTATCCTCCCTGCTTTGGAGAGAGAAAACTATACACAGCAGTGAATATCGGAATAGTTTCAGAAAATATTAATTTACCTTCCTTTCCCCAAAACACTATAATGGAGGAACTTTACTAAAAATATACCTCTACTTTCTCTTCCCATCTAACTCTCCACTGCACATAGCTTTCTAACTCTTCTCCCACCTTCCTAGGGAGAACTAAAGGAGACACTCGGTCTGCTTTATTTTTTGCCTTAACCAATATCCAAATCTGTAAAGAAATTTAATAAAACTTCAGTTTTTGATTCAGCTTTTGCTGCTTCTGACAAACTCTGCCACATGAGAATATCTCTTGAATCTATCCAGATCAGCTTCATTTTAGGATTCAAAGAAAGCTGAAAAACATTCCTACTACAAGGAACTGGAAAGCTGCTAGCTCAAGAAAACCTTTTTGCTATTTTGTTCTAGTAAGATGGCTTCATCCTTTGTTGTAATATTATAATGTTCTAATGTTCTAATACCACAATGAAGTGATATTACAGTACAAACACTAATGATTTTATTTGTTTGTATCTCAAGTTTATTCCCCACAACAACAACCCTATGAGGTGGTTTGGGCTGACTGGCCAAAAGTCACCTAGCTGTTTTTCACAGCTAAAGTGGGACTTGAACTCATGGTCTCCTCCTTTCTAGCCTAGTGCCTTAACCACTAGACTAAACTGGCTAGTGGTAATATGGTAAAACATGGTAACAATCTAACATACTGTATTATGAAATTAGAAAGGGGATATATTTTTGGCACCAGCCTCATGGATCATTAGTTCCACCAGCTAACCTTCTTCTTACATATCACAGCATTTTCCCTTTGACTGCGAGAAGAAATGATCTACTCACAAGGCATTTGTAAGCAGTGCTGGAGTACAGACAGTAAATAAGGGTAAGCATCTGTGTGCTTCAACCTCTTCTTGATCAGCTCAAACATCTGCGAGGCGCTTTTTGTGTCAATATGTACCTACAACAGAATACAGAGAAAGGCAAACAAAAATTGTAATAAAAACATCATTGTGAGGCATATTTTAGACAAAGAAGCCAAATCATGCAACACATAAATTTCAGTGTGTAAAAAGGTGAGCAGAATAAGATGACAATATATTAGTTTGTGGAAAACAACTGTCACCATCTATGCTCATCAAGATACTGAAGGCTGAAACCCATTCTCTTGTTTAAGCCTTGCGTTTTCTGTATCGTGTCATGTCTGCATATGAGAATAAAATGCACATTTTAAAAAGAAAATAATAATTTGTGACATTTTTGAAACTCAGTTCAGTTATTGGAGAGAGTGTCTATTATAAGACCCACACCAGCTAGAATGCTACTCAACACTGGGATGCCTATTTAATGGTGGATCCATTCACATCTATCAGGTTATTACCAGAAAGAAAAGAAAGTATCTTACTACATTCTAGGTAATTACTACAAGCTGTCACAATTTATCTTTATTTTTGTTACGGTCAGAGTTACCTAATCTAAAACAAGCCATTAACATACATTAAGAAGGGATGCACAAAATTCATCAGTTTGGGAATGGAATGGCCTAGCAAATTAGGGAAATTTCAATTTACTTCTGGAATACCAGTAGTTTGATGATTTCTGAAATATATTTTTCAAAGAAAAAGTTATGTTGTGTGTCTAGTGTTGCGGACAAAATGGATTCGATATACTCCAGTAATGCTCCCTGGATTAACAATTTTTTCCAGTCACTAATATTAAGCATGCATATGTTACTTCTGCTATTAAACATTAGATAAATAATTGGGAAAATATCTATACTAAAAAAGAACACACTGTTACAAGCCAGTAATTGAATCTATTGTGGTTGTAATAAGAAATATGTAAAATTAGATAGGCTTCTGGAAAAAAAAACATACTATAAGCATGTTTCCTTTTTTTCATACCCTCAGGTGACATTCATGTTGCTCTGCTCACAAACCTATTATAGAACACTTTTTTTATTATAGAGCATACTTATCTTTTTACCTTACCTGATAAAGTATTTGGTAGCTTTTATATTCTACTCTATTACTATTATTTGAAAACCTATCCCTATTTTGATGTAAATCAACATTTTACTGGACTTACAGCTGATACCAAATGTTGTTTAGGTCTACAGTGTCTGTCTACTAACACTACAGTAGATGGGAGCTAGTAGTTATGGGATACATTCATAATGTTAGAACATGTTCTAGCCTTTGTAGAAAAGAAGCAATAAGTGCAATCATGTGAATAATCTCAGTGTGGTGCAGTGCAGTGTGGCTTTGATATACTGAGTGCTTGTTTAGATCTTCTAGGCTTCATATTAAAAAAAAAGATCTCCATTGAGGACTAAAGGGCTGGGCTGCAGCAGGTGCTAGCTTCAAAGAAGAGTGAGGAGCTGTCCATTGCAATCCTAAGATTCATGGTGCTGAATCCAGCACCAGAGCTAAAGCCCCTTAAAATATCAATGGACAGTGCTTGGGGGTATCAAGTGAAAGCTGTGTGAAATTGGAACAGCAAATGTACAAACACCCACATTGTAGGAACATGTTTTACCCCATAAAAATCCATCTTAGGTGGTCAAAGCCTAAGAGCAAAAATAGAAACAGAACTTCACAACATAGAGGTAGTCCTCGACTTACGAGCGCAATTGAGCCCAAAATTTATGTTGCTGAGACATTCATTAAGTGAGTTTTGCCCCATTTTATGACCTTTCTTGCCACAGTTGTTAAATGAATTATTGCAGTTGTTAAGTTAGTATCGTGATTATTAAGTGAATCTGGCTTCCTCATTGATTTTGCTTGTCAGAAGGTTGTAAAAGTTGATCACATGACCCCCGGGACACTGCAACGATCATAAATATGAAGCAATTGCCAAGCATCTAAGTTTTGATCACATGGTCATGGGACTGCTGCAACAGTTGTAAGTGTGAAAAACAGTTATACATCCCTTTTTTTCAGTGCTACTATAACTCTGAATAGTGACTAAACAAACTGTTGTAAATTGAGGACCTGTTAAGAGGGCAAATCTAAAACAGAAGCAAAAAAAATGTAGTAGAAAAGGACCCCGAGACATTCAGTGTCTTTTATTCCCTAAGTGAGCAAAGCATATTAAGCAATATGGACCAGCAGTCTATTGATAACCAAATATTCCTAAAATCCAAACTATAAATGCATGGAAGAGCAAAAATCAAATTGAGGCATTTAAGCCATCACTGGCCATAATAGTCCAGTTAAATGATAAGCTCTTGACAAGGTCTGAATTAACTTAGTCACCAGATAACTTTTTAAAATAATACTTGTTATACTTTTTATTCTGTATACAAGAAAGAAAACTTCTCATTTTTCTTTAGTTATATGAAAACCATGTCTTTGTCCCACAGAAAAATCTAGTATATTTATAGTAGTAACTAAGGCAAACTAACATTTCTTAGCAGCAAAAACTTTCTAGGAGAACACTCACCATTTCAAACCTCTTTGCAAGTTCCAAGTCATCTTCATTTCGAACCATCTCAAAGAAATCTAAGTGCCTAGAGGAAAAATAAACATTTTCATCCTATATGTTTTTCAAAGTGATATGAACTCAGTTGGAATTAGTTTCCAAATTTGATATGCTGCCCTTAAATCAATGTGGATTGAGGGGGCCTACATTCGGATATGATTTTCATGATATAATAAAAAACAAAACCAGATCAATGTGCTTATTTAGATTTAAGCATAGGGCAGATGATATCTTGAAAATCTGAAACTGCTGTTTGAACCACAGAACAGGATCGAGAGATAACTAAAAATTATAACAGTTGGCATCAACTGAGATAATCAACTAAGGATTAACATTAAATATGTAGCATGCAGATTTATTTATCCTTAGAGAGAACTATAATGACAACCACTACATGTTAGTTGGAAAGTCTCAATTCTTCCTGTCTTAATATTTGCAAAATCCCCCCCCCCAGCCCTATTTTTTAAAGTCTCTGGATTTATTTATTTTTAAAGAAACCCTGGCTGGAAGAAGAACTGTTTTCCAATCTACATTATCTCACTCAAGCTGCTGCACATTTTCAGACTTCAAGTGGAAAGGGGGCAATTGTCCCTGTATATTTAAATCATGCAGTTCATTTTATGATTGAGTTCATTTTATTTACATCAGTTTCCAGCTTGCATGATAACTGCAATAAACATCAAGTGGGAATGTAACATATGACTCAAACATAAAATATTACCAGGACAATGAGAAATATCACAGCATTGATTCAATTAAAAGCCTGGCTGAACAAATAAGATTTCAGCTGATGACCAAAAGTTTAGAAGACTTGATACCAACAACAAATGAACCAGTAATTCCATAGTCAAAGCATCTGCATTAAGAACACCTTTATACATTCTAGCAAACGCACTGTCAAAATAGCATCCTTCCCTACTAGACTAAGGAATAGGCTGGCCTGCAAGTAATAACCTCCAAAAGCTCTGCAGGTCTTTGCTCAGACTCAGTGCAATCTTTATGCAAGAATTTTAAATTTCACCAAGTAGCAAACTTTGGAATCACTAAAATATGTTTACAGTAGGTTGCTCCCTTCGACAGTCTAACTGTACTATCCTGTACCAACTGCAGTTTCCAGACCAATTGAAAGGCAAACCTGCTCAAAGCATGCTGCAATAGTTAGTTCTAAGGAGGGAAATTCTGATAGTTTAATGTCCATGTGTCCATGTACACAGTGTAGATATTCATTAAGTTCCCATGCATTTAATAAGCCTCCATATTTAGTAGGACAGAGTCTGTTGGTATCCAAACCATACCGATTCCTTGGGAAGCAGTACAATATATTCATAAAACATCAGTTATGTTGTGCTATAGCTGTACATTGAAACTTTTGGTGTCAATTATGAGGTGCCAGAATATATACTGTACATTATCTGATCTGGAATGTATTTTTCTTTAAATGGCCACAATACACTATATTAAATTGAGTTAGAAGACTAAGCTGTATTTGTCATTACAACATAGCCTTGCTCCCCACATTTTGTTTCACCTGTCCAATGTTGCATTTTCATGTCCTCTGAGCTTGTCAATAACAGGCTGAATACCCAGCATTAGAAACTCATATCGTAGGTGCAGTCGGAATTCCAAGTTGTCCTAAAAAGAAAAGAAAAAGAAAAAAGCCCTCAGATTCAAGTTCTGCAATGAGAGGAAAATATAGCTTAGAGAACTTAAGAGAAGAATTAATTATGCCACAAAAATCTGCCAGCTATTTTGAGTACAACAGAGAGCAAAGGAAATTCAGTACATACACTCACCTCCCCACTACCTGCATTCAATACAGCATTAATAAAGGACATGATGGCTGTTTTGAAGTTCACTTCATCACGATATCTCCCCATGCTTCGGTCTAGCTCATTGAGTAGAGTCTGTAAAGCAAGAGGAGTGACAAGGTAGTAATTTATTTATTTATAATTAAATAAATAAAGCTCCAGAAGTTGTGGGTGCTCCAACACTGGAGATTTTAAAGAAGAGATTGGACAACCATTTAAGAGGAGGTTGGACTAGAAGATCTCCAAGGTCCCTTCCAACTCTGTTTTTCTGTTATTCAGGTGGATTGGACAAAATTACATTATAAGATAATTTTTTTCAGAGTGCTCTATTCTACCATATTTCATATTTCTTAACTACCCATTTCTCTTGGAGAGAAGCTTTGGGCAGTATAGAATAAATTCTATCTGGAAGGTTATTTCTCATTATCTCATTTGATATTATGGCATTTCACCTGGATCTCAAGCCATCATCCTTCCTTCCATAATATATTTTGCTGCCTCTTTTTAATAAAAGCAATGTTTCCCAAACTTTTCTTTTATACAGAGCCCTATGTTATCAAAAGCTTTTACAGATTACCCTATACACAGAGCACCTTTGGAAATAGAGCACCTTTGAGCCTTCCCAAATGGCACCTGCTGTTTTAAATTTGAAAATAACCAAAATCAAAAGATTTTGAAATCTGTTCAGACGCCCAATGGGTTTGCATAGTAAGTTGAAACTAGGGTTCACACAATACTGTGTATGATTTTTAAGCCAGATGTAATCAACTGGATAGCTTTAAACAACTGTGGTGGCACAGTGGTTAGAATGCAGTATTGCACGTGATTCTATCCACTGCCAGAAGTTCAATCCCTACCATCCATCCTTCCAAAGTTGGTAACATAAGGACCCATATTGCGGACAATATGCTGATTCTGCAAACTGCTTAAAGAGTCTTGTAAAGCACTATGAAGCAGGATATAAGTCTAGGAGCTATTGCTATTTATTTATTCTTTTATTCCGTTTAGTCTCCAATCATTACTTCCTGCATTAGATCACTATGGATTGGGTTGGGTTTGGCTGTACCTGTTTTGTGAGAACCAAGCTACTATGGTTTGTAAATATGACTACAACAATGTATTATATATCTCAGTCTATTCTCTTCAATAACAGTAATTAAGCAAATCAGTATTGCTAGTTGTCTGCTTTATCTTTTTTCTTTGCTGTTTCTGTATAGCATTCTTGGATTGTGCCTAAACAACATGATGTATTTCATTCCATTTAAATTTAGAATGGAAAGCTGAGACTTCAGAGCAAGGATAGGTAAAATGGTACCCTCCACCTCAAGCCAATGTGGGAATTGTATTCAAAAACATCTGGAGATTATCTATCCCAAGTCTGGAGGGTAGCCTATGTACTGTTATCCTTTTAATGCTCAGCAATCAACCTTGAAGTGAGATATTTCCTGTTTGTTTAAAAAAAATTGATAGCCTACTATCCAGAGGATCATGGGGCTTACAATGTAACTGTTGGCTTTTTCCCCAGAGTAGGTCTTATTTTCAGCATAACAGCCCATATGTTAGGGAGTGTTCATACTATATTATTTTCTCCCTTGTAATAGAAATAAATTCTTCTTCTCTTTCTGCGTGTATTTAGACATATAATCACACATGGTTTTTGAAATTGAAAGCATTAGCTGAGTTCTTTGTTCCCACTTATTTGTGTATGTTTGAGGTAGCCAACCTATATTAAGGACCTACAATAGATATTAAAATCTACATTATTAAGTCTTTGAGGGATGATTTGTGCTAATCATTCTTTAAGTTCAAAGAATAATACACTTATGAAAGCACTATTGCAAAAGTCTGTTGTGTATGTATAAACCATGTATCAATGAATAACTCTTCATACAGGCCTCTGTAATATATGTTCACATACATGTATTTATATACATATGTAAAAAGGGGGATGGTTGGCCATGCTGACTAGAGCTGAAGAGAATTATGCTAATTGCTTAATAAGAGAATCACTAGAGTAGAAGAAGATGCTATATGGCCATATTCACTTTATTCATCTAGGAAAGGAAAGAGTTTCAAATATTTTCTCCTTAAAAATATTAACCCACAATTTCCTCTTCAATCTGAGACCAAGAAAGCCAAAAGAAATTCCTTCTACTCGGTGTCTTCGCTGCTTTGTCATTTTGGCTGAGAGGATTTTTCATCATTATTTTTTACTATTTAGAAAGAATGTTAATAACACTTTTGCTGTCAGTGCCAAATAGCCACTTGTAAAACATCAGGGCTGATGTTTGAAGCTGAATGGTAATATCTAAGGGAAGAGGCAGGGAGACCTAAGATGACTGACTGGAATTAACTTAACTCAGCAAGTTTCAAACCCTGTGGAATATTCCATTCTCTGGGCAAATCTAAATGATATTGCCTAGATGACAGGAGGCATTTCCTCCTAAAATGTCAATAGGGAGTTAAAGGATTTGCAAAGCTTTGGTTATAAATATAACATTAAAAATGAGAGGTATCAATTATACATTCTTTAGCAATGATGCTCTCTCTATAATATACATAAGGTATAATTGCTACAGCTGAATATTGTGAAGATACTTTTCTGATAAAATTTCTATATGTTTCTGATAAAATTTCTGTATGTTTTATAACTAGCCCCTTATCCAGAAATCTATGTGAGTGTTATCATTCCTCACAATTCTCTGTCCATACTTTGGATAAAAAGTTAATCCAAATCTCAAAACATTTTTAAATAATTGATTTAGAGCACTATCATATCAACTTTTGGGGGTGACTAAGTGTTTTGTTTTCTCCAATAACTGCTGGATTTTAATCACAGAAATCTGATAAGCATTATTACATGAATATTCATAGTGATAGAAGCAGCCAAAGTAGATTTAACTTTGAATCTGTTATGCTAATGTCAGCACTTCTGACACCAAACTCAAAGAAATAAAGAAGACTTGAAGTATCTTGGACAAGTTTAGACTGTTAAAAGGAACTTTGCAGAAAGAAAGGATGGCCTTTATGCACAAATTCAGAAAAACAAATAAACAAGCAAACAAAATAAAAATATGTTCTTACTGGAACTAAAAAAAACAAGCAGGCAAAGATTCATCCTTAACTCCTTTTACACTACACCATGTATACATGCACATTCTGCACATTCATGGAAAAGACAGGATGTTAGTTTCCTAAAGATTCATAAAATACTC